GCTCCTGCCGGCGTTTCCTCATCCCCGCTGCCGGGGGCTCAGAGCCCGCAGTTGACGAAGGGGTGTCTCAGCAGGTCCTCGGCCGTCGGCCTCCTCTTCTCCTCCACGAAGATCTGCTTGAGGAAGTTGCGGCAGGAGTTCGAGACGCCGTCGGGGAGCTGGGGGTTGGTCGGCTGGGTGGCAATTTTAAAAATTGCCGCCATGGCTTCGAACTCTGCCCACGGTGGCTTCTCCGTTAGCATCTCCACCACGGTGCAGGCCACGCTCCTGCAACAACGCCAAGCACACAGGGGTGAGGGTAAGGGGCTGGGGGGGTGGCCATGTGTTCGAAGTCGAATTGATTCTAGGATTGCACCTGCCTAGAAAGGACCGTGAGGGGAGCAAACCCGCACGAGAGATGGGTGCAGACCTCTGGTATGCGTCAAGCCTGAAGCTCACGGGCTCTGGCAGCTAGGCTAGAGTGAACTTGCAAGCCTCACCCTAAAGCTGGTGGCTTCTCTGCCTACATTATCTGGTGAGATAATTAAGTTTCGTAAAAGCATGGGAAAGACCTTACTGGAGCATCGCCTGAAGGGAAACTCAGGCACGAGTTTAGACACCAGCTTCAGCAATAGCAGGTGGTTCCCCAGGAAGCTGAGCCAGAACGAAACACGTTGGCTTACACCCAACTTCACTGTCGATATGCATCGGAGAAGGAGCACATCAGACAAGCAGCAAAGAGCCCGAGAGGTTTCTCTGTGCTTGCTGAGGAGTCCTTGGCACAGCAGGGACCCTCCTCCACCTCCACTCATAGTTGCTCCTAAAATATTGAACTGCATTTTCCTCCCACCAGCCAGAGCAGGAGGTACAGGGCACAGGGCTGCCTGCTGAAGACTCCCTTAGACTTCCCCAAGGAGGGCTCTCTTGAAGGGACGAGGTTTTGTAGACCCTAATTGTTTGGGCACCCAATGGAAAAGCAGACTGCAAATACAGTGCTTGTCATCCCAACTCTTTCAAGCTCCAAGCTGACCTTCTCCACAGATCCAAACATTCATAAGCAGACAATGACTTTGGTTGATTTTTTTTCTGCACGATCTTCTTACAACTACCTATACCTGCTGCTCCCATTACAACCCTCCAAAGGGATTGTTTCAGTTGCAGTGGTGGGATTTCTATTGTATTTCTTACCACACATCAGCTTTCCTGCCATAGCCCTCTCCACTGATAACTTCTGGGCTCATCCAGTATGGTGTTCCTGTGACAGATTTAATCCCAGTCCCGGACATGCAGATGGTCTGGATGCGTTTGCTGGCCCCAAAATCTCCAAGTTTCACATTTCCAGCAGAATCTCTCAAAATATTGGCACCTGAGGTGAAAAGTAAAAAAACAGAAACCCCAAGAGATGAAGTAGCCACCTGAATGGAAGTGGCTGCAGCGAGGAAAGCAGAAAGGGCACGGGCTGGACTCAACACTACATAAAATTCCTCTCTCCCAGGGCAGCTTCTCTCTGAGAGGATTGACTCCTACCGACATCTCCTCTCTCAGTAGGTTTCCTAAAAGTGAGCAGGGAACGGGAGACGACAGATCATCCTCCCCACCCACAGACAGCAGAGCTTCAGATCTCTCTGATCACCAGGGCCCCTAAATTCTTGGGTATATTACACCAGGTTTTTAGATACACAAAGGCAATTAGAAATAATCCCTCTCAAGAGCATTTAATCGACGCTTCCCAAGCACGAAGACAGCTCAAGATTTTGGTTTCAGCTGCTTGTTCATGATTTTTATGGTTCAAGTAGGTGAAGGTCAGGGGAAAAAGTACTTTAAATACCAGATCCCAGCATTATGTTTTGCACAAGAATTTACACTGGGCCCGAGGGAGGCTGGGTTGAACGAATCCAAGCAAGCAAGAAGCCTCTCTATTATTTACTCACCTTTAATGTCCCTGTGGACAATCATATTGCTGTGTAAGTAGAAGACTCCCTGCAGGATCTGCCTGGTGTACTTCCGTGTGACATTCTCCGTGAGAGCACCGTAAGCTTTGAGCTGGTCCTTTATTGAGCCCTGTTGCAAAAAAACAACACGCACCAACTGTGAGGGCCAGCAGAACCATGTTATAGTGACTATTTAAACTTTCCTGACCACTCCAGCTCAAAAAAAAACCCCTCAGTCACACTCTACTGTAGAAACACCAGAGCAAAGACCTGTCCTCAATGTCCGAGTGGAGAAAAAGATAGTGTCTCTGCTGCCTTCTGCCAACACTGCGGATCTTGTTCCCCCTCTAGTGGCTGGACATCACCAATAGCTCACGAATCATAGAAACATTCGGGTTGGATAAGACCCTCGGGATCATCAAGGAGAAAGATCAAAACGATGAGGAGTTACGGCCCAAGTGAGAGGATAAACTCAAGTGGTTCTTCAGGACCAAGCTGATTGAGTCAGTCTTCTACAAAGCTGCCCCCTGTTAACTTCTCATAGCAAGTACCCACCACCACGAGGCCCGTGGACCCAGGAGTGACACCATCATCCCCACATGGGACTGCTTCAACGTGACACAAGGTAGACAATTTGCAAGTAATAGAATTCCTGAGCCAGGTGTGCAGGCTGCTGCTGGTTTAATGTCACTGATCAAAGAGGAAAGGGAGCAGGGGTGTAGACATTCATCACCTGCAGGAGGTTGATCCCTTTGGTTTTAGCTACGTTTTTTCAAAAATGGATGTCCCACACCATGGGTTTTAGCAGGGCTGAACCAGAGGCAGCTTCGGGGTTCACTCGGAGAGGTCCCCTCAGCTCTACCCTTGGGTACTCAGGTTAGCTGGAAAGCAGGAGAGGAAACTCAACCTGTTTCTGCCTGTCCTTCAGCTCCGGCGTTGATCCAAGCCTGCCACAGACCTTCTGTTCTGGGAACAGAGGGCTGCTCTGCTCCAAGTCAGTCACTCAAACTGTATCAGCTTTTCCACCTTCACCCATCTTTGCTGTTCTCTGCCCAGCTACCGTTTTGACCTTTTGAGGCTGGTGGTGATCCTGTGGACAAGCCTCTCTTACCATTCACAGTGCTGCTGAAACAACCTGAGACGCTCCAAAATTCCTCCCTGGTACAACTTGGACACAGGCTACGTTCCCTCACCCACAACCAAACAATCTTTCTTATCCTGGCCTCCCTCAACCTGATGGGGGGACATCAAACAAGAAGGGGAAACAGGGCCTTCAAGGCCTGTAGTTAAACAGACCTTCTGTTTTCCAAGCATAAATTCAAAACCCTGAGTTTATGGGTAGGGCAGGACAGAAAATACTGAGTCAGCTACTTAATGGGAGCGATCATAAGAACGCCAGGCTGATGGTGCCCCCAGGCTCGGCCCTGTTGAAGACTTTGTCAAGCTGGCTGTGTTAAACTGGGAGCTTGGCCAGACCCAGCCGCCATCCTGCAAAGTTTGGGAACTCATTCGTTTCCACTGGCCTTGGACACCAAAGCTCTGAGTGGCTGTTGTGAAACAAGCCATTGTTACAGCACAAAAGTCAATCTGTATTTGGTCCGAGCTCAGGTTTATCATTTAAAAAAAACAAACACACAACTTCCAGCCCTGCTGGACGCTGCCCCAGCATCAAATGGTGGTTTCCTGACTGCTAACAAACATCGGCACGCTGCAGAACAAGCGGCAGCGGGGACTGCTGAAACACCCAGAAGCTTTAATCCTCCTCTGGGTCCACACCGTGTGGTAAAGCCTGAAAGTGAGATGTCTGCCCCCAGGGAGAGAGGGGGGACAGGGTTTGGGAGGGACTCAAGTGAGTGGAAGTCCACCTGACTACTCCCGTGCAAGATGCGCTAGGAGAGCTTCTAGCACATTTACTAATGACCAAAATTAGTTGCAAGCAGATGACTTAATAGTCCCTTCTGACCTTACAAATCTCTGTATAAACAAGGGTTTATTCTCCCGCACTCGGGGGAACGAATCCAGCTGGACAGGCAGGACTGAGGAGAACAGATCCTCCAGAACGTAAATAGCGTTACGCTGCTTTGTACCAACTGGTGACTCTTGTCTAGATGGCTGATGTAATTCACGTGCTTGCAACAGAGAAATTCATCTGTGTATGTTCTCCAGCCCCTGCTTAGACTTCCTCAAAGTTTTCTGATCCTCTTTTTTCCTACAGCTATTCTGTCCCTTATCAGCAAAGTCACAAGCTGATGCCACTTCTGCACAAGAGGATAATGCTACCAACAGAAAGATCTGTCCTGAAGAAGGAGAAGACTTACAAGTGAGTAACACTGGTTTTAATACACACATGCTGAAACCCATAAATAATTGGTGACAGCTGTGGGTGGACAGTTGTACTATTAGCTTTTCCTGCAGGGATTTGCAATAAATACTTAAGGGTGGGCTCAGGCCACAGTGTTTGGAGCCAGATCTGGAGCAAGTCCCACATTCACCAAGTTCAGATTCCAGACTGTGAACACACCCTGCTCCAGGATTCAAACCTAAAACCTGCCTTCAAGGCTTTTGATTTCACCCAGGGCATGCTGAGGGGTTTCACCACGACATCTGGCTCACAGCCTCAGCTTTCCCCAAGCCTTAGGGATACATCCATGCTGTGGTTTGGCTCATCGGATATAGAGCAGCTCAGCTAAACAGTTTAACGCCAGATTCAAATTTCTCCAAACCCCAGGGCAGTTCAAATCTCTTCTTTTTCACTCCCGACAGACTTTAGCAGAAACCACACTTACCCCTGGCATATATTCCACAAAGATAGACAGTTTCTTCTCTTCAGGATCCCGCAGGCACCCGTAGTACTGCACTATCCTGTCGTGACGGAGAGTCTTCAGCAGCTGAATCTCACATTCTAAGGCATTCACCTCCTGTAATGGAACAGACATGCTTCATGATGAAAGGAAACAGTTACTTTAGGAGTATCATCCAAATATTGCTGGATGCTGAGCTCTCTTTCCACAGCACCTGTGAAGCTGCCCTCTAGGACACGTCAACCATGTTAAGGCTCAGAAGTGAGGAGGGTTGCCCTAAGGAAAAGGCAAGGAGAAAGGCAGATGGGACACATGCAAAACACAGTCCTGCCCTCATACTCACTTTACTTGTCTCTTGACTGTCAGGGTCGAAAGGCACCTGCTTCACCGAGAGCTCCCGGCCGGTGTCAGCGTCGTAGCAGAGATAAACTTCTCCGAAAGCTCCTCTTCCAAGCAGCTTTCCCAGCCTCCAGTTCACAGGTGCCTGCAGGGCTACAGTGAGAGAGAGTAGGGTTGAGAGAAGAGCACAGCAGGGAGACTTCAGCATCAGGGTCCATCTGACCCAGCAGAGCACAGATGAGACTCACAGTGAGGTCACTAGGGCAGGCAGCGAGCCACCCTCTCCCACGGGCACCATGACAAACAAGTTTTAATTGTACCAGTGCTACTGGTGTGTGGGGAGGATGTCTCCCACCCTGCAATATTATGAGGCAGAAACAAGACCCACAGAAGTCACATTTCTTTACGAGTCTTTCCTCCAAAAACTGCTTTCTTCACCAACGTTGGACCTCCTCTCCTCTGCTACAGGAGCAGGATACAACGTGGATAAGAAGCAACCCAGGCAGGGACCAGTAAAAGAGTTTTATCTTGCTGGTCATTTCTAGGTTGTCACCCATCACTGAACAACCCAGAATGCACCAATTTCTATAGCATGGGCAGTCTTGCAACATTTGAGGAACCTGCAACACCCTCTTTGGGTGCTGGGGTGATAGCAAGGTAAGCCAAGGTACGGAGCCTCTGGACACATTTGGTCAAATGTCCCAGGTTTCCTGGAAGTTTCTGCTGGATGAGCACACTGACAGTCCAACACACGAGCAATTTTTGGCAACTCAGCAAGCGATGAACACCAGCTGATGCCACACACGCTCTCAGCTCAAGTCCAAGGGAAGATACAGCGTGTTGCATTAAATCTCCCCTCACTGAGACATAAGCTAGCGCGACGTGCCTCGTGTTTGGGGTGGAATCAAAGTGCATTCACACACGGCTAGCTCAGCTGGTGCCCAGTAACTCTGCAGGTCACGGTAACTCAACTTTGTGTCGAGATCCAGGTGTACTGAGACCTCAGACACTGGGGGCTTTCATTCACTTACAGTTCCTAGCTTTCGTAGGGGAGGTGCTGAAGACCTTCAGACCTTTTTCACAATTGTTCCACCATTTGGGCCTGTACTCGTCGTACTGCAAAGTGCTGAGCTTGCTGTCCCCATTAAAGCTCTTGGTTCGACTAGAAGGGACAAGTTGAAACAGGTTCTCTTGTGGGAAGTAACTCCTGGGGAAAGTCCTCCGGCCTGTAGGAGAAAAGGGGGAGAGTTACGGCAAGAACGCACACGTCAGCTTGGATCTACCTGTCACCACCTTCTCAAGTTCCGGCCCAGATCTGGAGAGTTGTGCAGGGAGAAATCTTATGAAGTTCAACAAGG